CTAGGGGAGCTTGCCGTTGGAGTGGAGAGATGAGAGACTATGAAATGGAGAAAAACAAAAAACGGAAGAAGAAGAGAAGAAAAGAATGAATAAATAAAAGTTAGAAAGAAAAAAGAACAGCAAAGCTCCCAGGGATCCCACCGGTGCCACTACGAGGTCTGGGGAAGATGTTCCCAGCTGTTGAAGTACAGTCCGGCTAGTAGGCGTAGAGGTATTCAGTGCCAGGTATCCAGGGGACAGGAAGAGAAGGAAGGTATAGAGAGATGAGAAACTGAGTAATGAAGAAAGACAAAAAGAGAACAAGAGGGAAAAGAAAACAAAACAAATTTAAAAAAAGAACAAGAAAACTCCCCAAAAAAATCAGGAAAAAAAAAAAAAACATGAAAAAAGAAATGCTCTCAGGGATCCTTCTGCGTGCCTGTGCAAGCTGAGGGGGTAGGTCTCAAGCCACGCAGCACCATCTGGCCAGAACGGGCTCTCAACTGGAGAGAAGAAAAAGAAAACAAACAATTGAAAACAAACAAACAAAAAAAAGGCCTGGCATCCTACCAGCATGGCAGCAAGGACCCAGAAGCAGTTCCACATTCGAACGGAGCTCCACAGCCCCTCAGGAAGAAGCAAAGATGGCTCACAGAGCCAGGTATTTGAGCAGAAGGAGGGGGAGGTGGTGAGAGGTAAGGAAGAAATCAAAAGAAGCAGAAAAAAGCAACAACAGCAGCCAACAAATGGCACTCAGGGAGTCGGCCAGTGTGGGCAGGTGGACTCCAAGCAGCCAATGCTTCCCAGCCAAGAGACTGTGGCCACAGGAAGCAGAGGAGGCCAAGTAGGGGTGAAGAAGTGTTGGTGGTGGGAAAGCGTATATCGCTGTTTACCGGTTGTTCTGTCTCCTGCTGGAAGCTCCGTGAAGCTACTTTCTCGTACCCCCTATCTGCTGGTCTCTGATAGGAGTCCAAGATGGCGGATCCGTGCTGCATTAGCTGATAGGGGACCTCTCCATGTATGTCTCCTTGCTCTCTGTTCTCTGTCAGCTTCTTATTCCATTTAATGCTTGGCTGAGTTCTCTTCATTTGATGTTTAGGGTTTCAGGATTCCTGTTTTCTCTGTTTGGCTTAGTTTTTCAGATCTTTGCTGTGGAGGGACAGAGTGGTGCGTCTGCCTAGAGTGCCATGTTGCAGGAAGTCCTCTGAACCAGTTCTTGATGGAACTTGAGGACCCTGGTGCCCTCCTATTCTCCCGATTTGAAACCTGTCTTCCTGGTTTCACTCTTTGGATACCACCTCAACTTCAATCTGACTAGCATTCTGAAATCTCTCAACCCCTTTGATTTTATAATACTGAGTAATTTCAACCCCTCCTAAGCTGTTGAACACTGTTTGTAGGAAGAGCTGGGAAATGAAAACCAAGATTTACACATTTATAATAATGATAAGTCACAAACATCCTAAATATCCATCAACACCAAAATAGCTCAATAAACTATGGTGGTGGTGTTGCATGCTGACAAATCAATTTTCGATTCAAAGCCACCCCATGTTACACAGTAGAACTGCCGCATAGGGTTTCTTTACCGAAGTAGACTGCCATATCTTTCTCCTGCAGAGTGGCTAGTTGGTTTGAACCGCTGACCTTTTGGTTAGCGGCCGAGCACTTAACAACTGTGCCACCAGGACACCTTTGACACATATCTATTGACATAGAAAGATCTCCAAAAGTATTACTGAGAAGAAAAACAAAACTGAATGATAGGCAAAGCATGATGCCGTTAAATTTAAAGAACACACACACACACAAACAGTACTATGTATTTTCTATAAAATACACATATACATATATGAACATACTTGGAGCCCTGGTGGCGCAGTAGTAGTTAAGAGATTGGCTGCTAACCAAAAGGTTGGCAGTTCGAATCCACCAGCCACTCCTTGGAAACCCTACGGGGCAGTTCTACTCTGTCCTATAGGGTCAATGTGAGTCAGCACACAACAAAGAACTTGGGAAAATGGAAATACCCAATTCCAGCCCCATCTAGCCTTCCTGTCTCCTGAAGCGGGTGGGGGAAGCTAAGAAGTATTTGTTAAGGTCACAGCCCAGGGACACAGACTCACTAAAATACTGAAACTTAATCACAGGATTACAGAACACTCCCCTTACCTCCACACCTTATCACCACATCAGTAGAACTCCTGTATATAGTAACAAAATTATAGCTAAAGGACTATAGCTTATGGATAAGTAAATGACAGTAATGTTGTAAGGGACAAAAGGGAGGTTGGGATTAATCTGTTATAAGGTACCTGCTCTACCCATAAAGTGGTATAGTGTTGTCTGAAAGTGGACTTAGATTAGTTGTAAATGTATACTGCAAATTCTAGGACAACCACTAAAAATATTTTTAAAAGAAGTATAATTGACATGTTAAGAGAAGAAAGAAAATGCTCAATTAAAACAAGAGAAGGTAGAAAAAGAATGGAGACATAAAAGAAACAAGTAACAAGGGCAATAAGTAGAAAATAGTTATAAATATGGTAGATATTAATACAACTATCATATTTTTTTACGAAAATAACACACACCTTCTACATTTGTTTGCCAGCCACATCCTCCCCCCATGAGGTTAGGCACATGATGCTAATTTTTTTTACAGCAACATATAGAGAAGAATTGGCACAGCAGCACTTGTGAGAATGCCTGGTGGGGGGGCGCAGCTGGCAAACAAACGTACAAGGTACACATTATTCACATAAAAATACGGTACATCAAGAATCACTTTAAATGTGAAGAGAAAGAATATCAGAGTGGATAAGCACAAAAGGACAAATATTGTATGATCCCACTTTTATAAAATGACAAAAATAGGTATATATACAAAAATCAACCTTCTTTGGTGGTTAACAGGTATAGGAGGGGGAGGGAGAAGGAATTACTCTCTAGACAGTAGACACTTGTTATTTTTGGTGATGTAAAAGTCAGTATCAAATGCGGGTGAAGTGTGCACAACTGAACCAAGGTAAATGACAACAATAAGAAATACATAAGATTAAGGAACGTTATTGGTGAATGGTATAACATATACAACCAAAATACATGTAACTGATTACATAGGTAGATATGTATCTATACGTGTACAGCAAGGTATATGTGTGTACAGTCATGCACCACATGACACCCCTTCGGGCAACGTCCGACCACATATACGTCCGTAGTCTATAGGGTTTTTTTTGTTTTTGTTTCTGTTTCTAAAGGGAAAGCAGTTCTCCTTTTATGATCTCCCCCTAATGGTTTTAAGGACCCCAGATCCCCAGAGTGAATGAGTGGTGGGGCCCCAGGGCACACCCCAATCCCCAGAGCACCTCCTCCTCTTTCCCCTCCTCCTGGCTTCATTCACCTGCCCAGCAGCTGTGCAGCCGTTCACTCCCAGTGCAGGGCAGCACTTGCAGTGGCTCCTCCGATCCCTACTTAGTCCCTACAGCCACATCTCCACGCCCTCTGTTCTCCCCCTACCCTGAGCCTAGACATGAGCAAAGTCCCGATCCAGCTGTGAGCGCAGACCCCATCCAGCCCACAGCTGCCTACCCAGCAAGGCTGGCCTCCTGTATCCAGTGGACACAGCTCTCGGGCTGTGTCTGGCAGGTAGGCAATGGCAGGGGCTGCTGCGGCAGGCTGCTCCTGCACCTCAGGCAGCCAGAGCAGTGGGCAGGGCTGGGCACATAACCAAGTGACTGCCTATATATAATATGGTGTTCGCACAATGTCCAAATTACATAACGTCCTATTTCACAGAACGTATCGTAGATGTTAAGTGACATATGACTATATACGTGTGCATATACAGGTGTATCTGTACACACAGCCATATATATGTCTGTGTGTACTGCACATATATTCATATACAGGCAGTCCCCAGATTACAAACAAGTTCTGTTCCTAAGTCCGTCTTTAAGTTGAATTTGTACTTAAGTTGGAAGAGTTAGGTATGTTTCGTATCTAATGCCAGTTAGTCAAACATTTGTCTTAGTATATAGTGTACCTCTCTATGCATAAAAAACATTAAAGAAACACTTCCAGATATATTAAAACATCTTTAACATAATAATACAGTAATAATAATAATAATAGTTTGATGCACATGGCAAAGTAGGACACAATTTGTTATTACGCACCATTGTATGTACCTTGTATTTTTAATATAATAGGCTTTATGGGGGTTGGTTCATAACTACGGGTTGGACGTAAGTCAGACGTTCATAACCCGGGGACTGCCTGTATACAATAAGGCACGTAGGGGGCACAGTCACGAATACTTCCCAGATATAACCAAACACCTTGCAGGATTGGTTTACTGGGTTTGAAGGCATAGTACAATATTCTCATGGGATAACTCGGTCAACTGGCACAACACAGTCTATAAAATTTATGTTCTACATCCTAGTTTGGTAAGTAGCAACTTAGGTCTCAAAACCTTGCAAGCAGCCATCTAAGATACAACTATTGGCCTCTACCTGTCTGGAGCAAAAGAGAAAGAAGGAAACTAAAGGCTCAAAGAGGAAACTAGTCTACAGGACTAACTGCCTACATGAAACATGGCCTCAGGGATCCTGAGACCAGAAGAACCAAATGGTGCCTGGCTACCACTACCAACCATTCTGACTAGGGACATAATAGACGGTCATGGATAGAGGGAGAAAATTATAGAACAAAACTCTAATTCTTGAAAAAGAAAAAATGCCAGACTTGGCTGGTAGAGACTACAGGAATCCCCAAGAGATACCCTTTAAACTCTGAACTGAAACTACTCCTGGAGGTCACCTTTCAGCTAAATAACAGATTGGCTCAAATTATACAATATCACCTGTGAGTACTGTGCATCTTTAAAATGAATAATAATCATCATCATCTGTATGAGACCAAACAGTCCACATTTACCCTAAAGCAAAGATGAGAAGGTCAGGGAGGCGGTGGGGAGGCAGGGAAATTGGATTAATGGAAGGGGAACAACCAGAACAGAAATAATGAGAATGTTGACACAATGTAGAAAACGTAACCAATGTCACTGAACAATATGTACAGAAATTGTTAAATGGGAACCTAATTTGCTGTGTAAACTTTCACAAAAACTCAATAAATACTTAAAAAATAAAAATAAACAAGCTATCAAGTCACAAAAAGACATGTAGGAATCTTCAATGCATATTGCTAACTGAAAGGAGTCTGTCTGAAAAGGCTATATACGGTATGATTCCAACCATGATGTTCTGGAAAAGGCAAAACTAAAGAGACAGTATAAAGATCAGTGGTTGCCAAGGGGTAAGGGGGAGGGAAGCAGTGATAAACAGATGCAACACGGGGCATTTTTAGGACAGTGGAAGTATTCTGTATGATTCCATAATGGTGGGTCACAGTGGATACATGACATTATGGATTTGTCAAAACCCACAGAACTGAACAACACAAAGAGTTATGTTTCTTCAGCTGAGAGCCATTCTGCATCTTATCTACAACACAGACTTGACCACCCAGTAAAATAAGCCCTTCCACCTTCAATGAATCGCTTAGTAACTAAGGGATTTGTTTAGGGGACTTTTTTTCCTTATGAGTCTGAAACACCTATAACAAGGCCCTTCTCCAGAAGATAAAACTTTCAAATTTAGCTGGTAAATAAGTGTCCCCCTTCTAATTAGGGCCACATCAGAAAAACAGATTAAATCACCTCATTATCTCTTCTAGTCTTCTTATGCTATGGAATTCTTTTCATAACCTAAAAACAATTTAGACCTGTTTATTTTTTCTAAAGTTTATTTTTTCTAACAACACCAACTTACTTCTGTTTCCTTTATGTTGGCTAGACACTTTTATTGCAGACAGAAAAACAGAATGAAAAAACATGGGATTTCATGTTAGTAAATCTCTGTAACATCAAACAAGTTATTTCACTTCTGTGATCCTCTATTTCCGTATTTCCAAAATGGGAATAATAATAACCACCTTTCCGTTTTTCTTTATCAGGGCTGTTTTAATGACTTAAACAATATTATGTAGGTGAAACCCTAATGTGTCCAGGACTTTATGGCTTTTCATTGGAATGTAAATGCCTCAAGGACAAAAAACTTACCATCCTCATCTCCTTATCCCAAGCACCCAACACAGGGCATGACTTTTTTGGTTTCCAACACCGGTTTTCTGAATAAATCACCTCTTTCTTCTATATCCGCCAGAGCACCAGGCATAGTGGTCTGCCCTTGGTACACAAAATGGCTTGCTGTCTGACCAAATATACAATAACCCATGAATACTTTACCTTATGGATTCGGTAAATGATGTCAGGTTGAGTTATACTTAAAATGTCATTGTTGCCTTTCAGTGGTCTGACGTGATCTTTAAATTCTTGACCACGAAAGTACTCTTCATTTAGCTTGTACCGCTGGATCATGGTCCCCATCCCTCCATCTAGCACCATAATCCTCTCCCGCAGTATGGCTTCAATCTCATCCTGCAGTGTTTTCTTCATATCTGCTTTAAAGAAAGTGAAAATTTGACTTTAAAAAATGAAAGATAAGATGTACGGAGGGGGGTTTGGAGTAATTTATGATAATAGGGAGCAAACAAGTAAATAAAAGATGCACTCATAACTCTGCAACATTAGAAAAATGTTGACTAAAAATGTTTTCATTAAATCATAATATGCCTAATGGAGTAAAAGATTGTACACAGCACAAAATCACTGCGGAAGCACCAAACCAAGGCTAAAGTCGGCTGTAGTCATTTCCTGTTTCGGAGATAAGGAAAACAGGCAGCAATGAGCCACGTGACCCAAGCCGAGCCCAAGCTTCTGCAAGTCCTCAGGGCTTTCTCCCCTTGTTAGTCTGTGCAGTTGTTCCCTTAACAGAGATGTAGCAGGGGTAACTGAAAACCATTAATAATTCCAAACTGCCATTAAAACTGTTAGCTCTGACCATCTCTCCCACTTGTTACCAGAACTAATGACAGCCTGCAAACAGGGTTTTAGTCACTTCTGCACCATCTATGAAATAACGACTGGCTAACACCAGCTCCTCAACTCTCCACATGCTTCTGGACTGTTCCTAATTCCCAGCCACAAAAAGCTCCCACTGCCTTTCCAATCCTACTTTCTGGTTTCCAAGAACTACTGAAAAGTCAAAAACTATGCTGACTGGAGTCGCTGAAAATTCAAACCTCTGCTTTCTTTTAGTGCCAAATCCTTCCCGTCCTTTTCACTCTTAATGGGTGATTTTACCTAATCCTGTACAAAGAAATCTTAAATTCACCCCTTAAATTCACCCCTCTCCACCTAAAAATCCTCTTGAAGTTTTGCTCACTCAATTATCCTTTTCTCTCCACTTACGGAAGAAGCATATTATCACCATCACACCAACATTTCTCCTTGCTCTCCCTATCCCTTCCCACCTCCATCAGTTGTACCTCAGCACCCATTGATTCATTCTCTTCTTGATATGGCTTCTTCCTCCACCACTCTACTGTCTACACTCAAAGGTCACCAATGACCTTCTAATTATCAAAAAAACTTGGCCCCAATCTCAGACCCAGATTTCAATTTGTCTAGCTGCTATGTCCACTTAGAACAGGTGCTCCTCAACCTAATATCCAAAACCAACCTTGCTATATTCCCTGTCTGATCTCCCTATTTCTGCAAATGGCATTCCCCTTCCCAGAAGCCTCAGTAAAACTGACTCCTTATTCTCTTTATATCTCAGTAGAATCTGACTCCTTATTCTCCATGATTCCCAACATTTACTCAGATCCCAAGTCCTATAGGTTTAATCTTGAAATGCTCCACCTTCCATCCCCAATGCTAACTCCTTTCTTCAAGCCCTCACTACACACCCAAGCCATCATAAATCCTCTGAATTTCTGTTTGTATCCATGTAAAATAAGAATAATAATATTTGCTGTACTTACCTCACTGAGTTGTTTTACAGGATAAATGGCATCATAAATGCAAAGTTGCATTGTAAACTATCAAGTGTGCTACAAAGGTAAGAGATCACCACCTCAACTGTATACCCTGTGTTCTAATCTATCCTGTGTACCACTCCCAGATTAATCTTCCTATAGAACAATTTTAAATCAGTTGCTTCCCCAGCTCTAACACCTTCAACAGCTCCCTACTACCAAAGTTAATAAAGTTACTCAAAACAAACCACAATGACACTAATCTATCTTGTCAACATTTTCTTTTATGCTCCCTAAGAGGGGAGCAAAAGCTCTTGCCAAATGGGGCTGGTTCTAAGCTATCTGAATTCCTTGGAGAAAGAGACTCTGTCCCTAGCAATACCAAGGATAGCGCCTGGTGCCTAAGTATTCAATAAATATTTCCTTAATTGATATGGCAAAAAAGTGAGAGAATCCTGAGGTTCACCCTTCAGTCAAAGATTAGACAGGCTCATAAAACAATAATACATATAACTCAACCACGTATACAAGACTAAACGGGCACACCAGCCCAGCGGCAAAGATGAGAAGGCAGGAGGGGATAGGAAAGCTGGATGAATGGAAACGGGGAACCCAAGGTCGAGGAGAGAGTGCTGACACGTCGCAGGGTTGCCAACCAATGTCACAAAACAATACGTGTATTAATTGTTTAATGAGAAACTAATTTACTCTGTAAACCTTCATCTAAAGCACAATTTTAAAAAAAAGTGAGAGAAGATGAAAAATAAGAGGCAAAAATCATTTAAACCAGTAAACTATGAATATTTGTAAATACTGGGTACAAATTTACAACCCTACCTTGTCTTACTGTCCACAATATCGGTACACAGTATATGAAAGGAGCTAAAATAGTGGCCACAGAGCTATTTTGACTGAGTTATTCCAAGTAGGAATCAGGAAGTCTACTCAAGTAACCTGCAACGGAAGTCTGCCAATATCTTGTCTCCTTCCCAAAGAGCATTATGCTTCTCTCAGAGTATACTATTCCTTTTCAAAGCCATCTCACTGGCTAATTCTGTTTATTGAGCTTGCAGGTAGGAGAAAACATTTCCCGAAAAAGGAATAAAATTAAAATGCAATGAGCTGCCAGTGGTATTTCAAGTACCAAAGGTGGTCGGGGTGGGGGAGGGGTGGGGGCGGGGAGGGAAGCAGAATCACTTCTCAGGAAATGTGGAGAAAAGGTAGGGCTTAATGAGACACATAAAGAGTGGTCAGCATCAGGCAGTGGTCCAGTCATTTCAAATTATATAATCAACAAAGCAAAGTCAGGTTGTGGCATTAATTTGGACACCTCATGACATGACTGCCCTACCAGCCAATAAATATCAAGAGTTTGAAATCATTAAGTTCCTGATGGCACAGTAAGAAAAGCCAAGAAATTTGGGTTTTAGTCCCAGCTCCCCTAAGCAGCCATCAGACTTCGGACAAGACTTACTGGCAAAATGAGGAAAGAGTAGCCCTGCCTATGTCACAGAATCTGTGGAGCTGGGCCTCTCAAATCACACAAGTCATGAAACGCGACATATGTGCTTGACGTGTAGTAAACACCCAATAAATGTTAACTACTGCTATTATGTAGTTATTATCATATAACTAATAAGAAGTGGAGGCAAGATTGACACTCCAAAGGCTGTGTTCTATATGCTACAAAGTGCAGAGGGCCGTGAAAAAATACCAGGCAAAGCCTGAAGCTCTCAGCCTCGTGTTGGGGAAGAGGTACAAAACAAAACAGGTTTGGAAATGAACATCAGTCTGGCAGAAAGATGACAATTACTCAATGAAAACAACAAAATGCTGTTGAAAAAGATTGAAGAAGAATTAAATAAATGGAAAGATGTTCCATGTTCTTGGGTTAGAAGACATAATATTGCTAAGATGTCAATTCTACCCAAAGCTATCTACAGATTCAACACAGTCCTAATCAAAATTCCAACAGCCTTCTCTACAGAAATAGAAAAATCAATCTTCAATTTTATATGGAATTGCAAGAGGCCCCAAATAGCTAAAGCAACGTTAAAAGAGAAGAGAAGAACAAAAAAGAGAAGAACAAAGAAGAAGGACTCCTACTGATTTTAAAACATACTATACAGCGACCTGGAGCCCTGGTAGCTCAACGGTTGAGAGGTATGGCCTCAAAACAAAAGGTCAGCAGTTCGACTCCACCAGCCACTCCGTAGAGACCCTATGGGGCAGTTCTACTCTGTCCTATAGGATCACTATGAGTCAAAATCAACTCAACGGCAACAGGTTTGGTTTGTTTTTTTTTAAACAGCTACCATAATTAAAACAGCCTCGTACTGGTATAAAAATAGACACATAGACCCATGGAATAGAATTGAGAGTCCGGAAATAAACACACACATCTATGGTCAACTGATTTTTGAGAAGGGTGCTAAGTTCATTCAATGAGGAAAGAAAAATCTCTTCAATAAATAGTGCTGGAAAATTGGATTTCCACATGCAGGAAAATGAAACAGGATCCATGCCTCACACCATGCACAAAAACAAATTCAAAATGGATCAAGGACCTAAATGTGCAAACTAAATCCACAAAATTCTTAGAACAAAAAGCAGGGGCAATGCTGTCAGGCCTGGCTTATAACAATGGATTATCTAATAAAATAACAAAAGCACAACAGTAAAAAAACAAAATAAATAAATGGGACTTCATAAAAATTGCAAACTTCTGTTCATCAAAAGACTTTACTACATATCCAACAAGAATCAAGTAACTAAAATGCATATAAAACTTTGACAACTTAACAAAAAGACAAGTAACCCAATCATAAAATGAGCAAAGGACTTGGATATTTCACCAAAGAGGACATTCAAATGGACACAAAACACATGAGAACATGCTCAGCGTCATTAACTATCAGAGAGATGCAAATCAGAACCACAGTGAGATACCATTTCACTCCCACTAAGATGGCTTGAAGTCCTGATAGCACAGTGATTAAGGGCTCAGCTGCTAACCAAAGAGGCCGGCAGTTTGAACCCACCAGCCACTCCTTGGAAACCCTATGCGGCAGTTCTACTCTCTCCTGTAGGGTCCCTATGAGTCAGAACGGACTTGACAGCAATGAATCTGGTTTAGTTTAGGATAGCTAAGACTTAAAAGAAACAAACAAACAAAAAAAAAACAGACATTAACAAATATTGGCAAGAATATGGGAAAATTGGTACCCTTACCCACTGCTGGTGGGAATGCAAAATGGTACAGCCATTGTAGAAAAGTGTGGTGGTTCCTCAAAAAACTAAAAATAGAACTACCATATGATCCAGCAATTCTACCTCTAGGTATACATTCGAAAGGCTTGAAAGCAGAAACTCAATGTTCAATGCAGCACTATTCACAACAGTCAAAAGATGAAAACCACCTAAATGCTCATCAACAGATGAATGGATAAACAAAATGTGGTACATACATACAACGGAATACTACTCAGCAGTAGGAGAAATGAAGTCTTGATACATACTACAATGTGGATGGAGCTTGAAGACATTATGCTGAGCGAAATAAAATATCACAAAAGGACAAA